GTTTTCTTGTTTTTGCCCCTGCATCCGTGGTTCAAATTTTAGGATGAAAAATTTTTCCCCCTCCATGCGTCAAATTTTACCTCCCCCGGGGGAAATTTTCCCCTTGGGAAACCCTTCGAAACCCTTTATTCCACCTTTTGAGGGGTTCTGTAACCTTTTCCCCCCCCAAAATCCCTTCATCCCGTTGTGCAGCTGTCCTTAACCCCGAAAAGGGGGTGGTTTCCCCCCCTCTCTTCATGGATGATACTGCCCATGTGAAAGTCACTGGGGATTTTCCCGCGGGCCGGGTTTCCTGTTTTCCCCCTTTGGAAGCATCGGGGGGGATCCCACCGAAGGCCTGATTCCCCACTTTCCCAGCACAAACGTAATTTAAAGTGATTTCTTATCGATCACCCCAAGCGGGATCAAAATGGCGGTAAAACTGAGAGCACACCTCCCACTCCCACAGGGGCAATTTGGGGTGGGTCCTGCCACCCCAAATGTTTTTGGGGAACCCGGATTTCCCCGGGCCGCCCACTCACACAGCGTAATTTATGTGGTTCCTCATCACCCCACTGTGTTTGGCAGGCCAACACCGCCACAAATGATGAAAGTGGCTTTTCTCTCACTGACACACCAAGTAGCTACACACAAGTCAAACAAAAAAGAGGGGTTCTTGGATGTTAATGAGGGGTCACTGGTTGGGCAGAAGTAACCTGCTATTTTGACCTTTAGGATATTTGGGTAAGAGAAAAAAACACTGCCTATCTTACACCCCCCCCAACAGAAAAACCCTTTTTCAAACCTGAAAAACGTTTTGTAAAAAGGACAATGTGGATCCTTACTGAAAAACACGGGATCGTTTAACAGTTTAAAACAATTTCACAGAGGGTAAAAACCGATAAAACTGCGCCACAAAAGTAACCTTGTTGCTCGACGCAAAAAATCACTCTCTTTCAGCACCGCTAAACGATCCACGTTATACACGCAATCTTCGCTGCAACCTCTAATAAAAAACCGTTTACAACAAAAGGTCTGACTGGACGCCGTAACACCGACGACACCTGCAGCTTTAAACAAAACCCGCGTCTGACAATGATGGGAACTACTCTTTTTAACAGGAGAAAAAACACAAGAATAACATAAATCACTATACAAGAAATCTATGTGCAAAAAACCAGACTTCCACCGCGCTCACTTAAATGTGGAACTCTTTGAAGGGGAAAATCTCGATTAATACAACTACTTTAAAATTGGCTGGCAATACGCAAATTTAAAGCTCTAAAATGCAAACAAATGAAACTGTATAAAAAATTTGGATTTTAAAAATGTGAACACAATATGGCTCAAATGCATATATAGAAACTGCATACACATTGCATAGTGATACTGCCCATTTTGGTAGATCACACAAAATGGCCACCAACAGGTAATGCACATGGTAGCCAACAAAATGGCCAACCAATACAATAGGTAAGGCCATGTTGGTTTAGTCCAAGAAGAATGACCCCCACAGAGGAGCACATGGCAGGATAACTAGAATGGACCCCCCACAGGAGGTAGCACATGGTAGACACTTGTCATGGACCCCCCACAGTAAGGAGCACACGGCAGACTCTAGCACTCAAATTGCCTGCTATCCTCTTACATTTAAAACATGACCTTTTGGACAGAACATACACTGGACGACTTACACAACAATATGCAGTAACAACATTAACAACACAATTTGGGGCACACAATCACAGAACGGACTTAAAACACCAACATATCACACTAACATACACATGTACCAGAAAAGGACTGCTGCTGGCATGCGTGCCTGGGAGCAGGAGTCAGTACCACAAAAACACTGTACCAGACTAACATACACACAGTGATCTTTACAACAGTTATAATCAATTAACATAAGACCTTTCAGGCACTGTATTAATTACCTCAACGTGGGAGGGGGGTAGAGCAATTTAACCACTTGTAAACCTAAAAGCGCATAATATATCTTACCTAACACTAGGCAACAACTTTTACCCACTAACAACATTATACATGTTTAATTATTGGTTGGCAGAGATTTTTTTAAACTTTGTACCAAATCCTGCCATCCAAACCCCACCCTCCTGTGCTCTCAGCAGAGACCAAACCCTTTGTCTTTTCACCCACCAATCAAGAGGTAGTAGGACAAAACGAGGTTGGTCATTGTTAAGCGTTAAATTCTTGTTTAGCTAAACAGAGAGCGAAATCAGCCCACTACGAACACGCAAAAAAGCGATCCTTTTATATGGAAGGAGAGGAGACCTGAAATGTTGCCGGCATTTACTTTTGGCAAGTTCATCGTTGGCCCATTCCCCCCTCGTTCTTGGTTAGCAGATGCAAGTAATACGCTTTAGTACTCCTCCAGGCTCGCCAATCTGTGTTGGAAATCGCCTTTAACGAATTTCTCCTGTGACCGTGAGTACTCGCTGTATGGGATGCGCCAAGAAAATCCCCCATAAGCTGTGCGAATCTCGCTTACCACGACTGCAAGCCAAACTACACGAATTCCTGCCATCAAATACTTTGGTTCTGTTGAATTTGTGGTGGGTATGGAGCTCCGTTACCCTAGAATGATCACACGACACTCTCAGAGGCTGGTTGCAATCTCACATACAGGGCCGGCTTTTAGGCTCAGCTCTTCTGTTTTTGTTATTAAGAATACCACATGCCCCCAACATGAATAAAGTCAATCCCTCCACCGAACAATACAATGGGGAATGCTGCTTTTTACAAAGGATGTACATTCCAATTGGAGCATAGCCTTTGCCTATTATCTAATCATGGTCCTCCCCCATGAGTCTTCATGAGGTCAGCAGACTTCCTCCCCTTCCCCCCATGAGCCATCTGAGGTCATAATTTCCATGTCCTACTAGCTTCTATTGGTATGCAAAATTCTCTCTGCACAAGCACTCCTAAAAAATATTCAGTCTGTACCTGGATGGGCCCGATAAGTCGATCTTTATTAAAAACACATCCATCCAGATACAGTTTCAAGTTGGTAATGGGTTGTAAGATATGCATAAGCCTACCACGTGGAGTTCACACCGCTAACGCATTGCGTTATGGAAGCCCACGTGGTACCATGCTGCTGATAGTGTGGTATACAGGCCCGACGGTCTACTGACAGCAGCATTTCGCATGGAATGCCGTGATGGTGGTATACACGCCTGGTCTATTTAAAAAAAGCGGGCGCCAGATCTGCCATCTCATCCATTACCAAGCTGAGTACTGTAATACATACATTGTACATGCGCATGGCCCAATTGCAGCCTTCAGAGGCTTTAATTAAGCCACACGAGTGACATATGAATAACACGAATACATGACACATTTAAAGTCTTTCGACCAACAATACAAAATTTCCATGGACACGTCCAGTATGTGGATGACTTGTTACTTTGTTCACCCAACAGGGAGTCTTGTAGGCAGGACAGTATATCTCTGTTAAATTTTCTCTGGGTACAGAGGGACACAAGGTGGCAAGGCATTAAGGTACAACATTGTCAAACATTGGTGGATTACTTGGGATTCACTCTGTCACAAGGCACTAGAATTTGTGAGCCAGTCCAGGATCCAAGCCATTACGAGTCTTGCCCCGCCCAAAACTAAAAAGTAAACTGCTCTCTTTCCTTGGCATGGATAACTATTGTCTCTAATGGATACCTGACTGATCCCATTATGATAAACATACTCAGGCAACACACTTTTGGTCCATTAACAAGTGGGAGGCACATATGCAAACTGTTGTCATTCCTACACCGTTCACCTGATTTGGATGTAAATACCCTCAAATTAAAGCTGACAGTCTGCAGCTAAAAGCACATCTTGTTTGTTTCATTTTAAATCCATTGTGGTGTATAGAGCCAAAAATGTTAGAATTGTGTCGATGTCCCAATATTTATGGACCTGATTGTACATCAAAAGGTTACACAACAGGTAGCCAAACTGATGAGCATTGACTGGAAGTTCCATATATTCTACCACACAGAGTTCTGCTCAGGTAGGACGGGCAAATAGGACCCTGAAGGAAAAACTAAGGAAGGCAACAGGGGGGACATTTAAGGGATGGGAAGCGTACTTGCCAGCTGTTCTGGCTGAGATGAGGATGACACCACATAAAGGCACCAAGCTTTCCCCCTTTGAAATTCTTATGGACAGGCCATTCCCCACCCCCTGGACATGCGGTCCTTTGGTAGTTATGTCAGGTGATTTAGAATTAATCCCGGAAAGATATGTGCAGGAATTGATTAGGGTGCTGAATGGTGTACAGGTAAAACTCGAAAAATGAGAATATCGTTGAAAAGTTCATTTATTTCAGTGCAGCAACTTAAAAGGTGACACTAATATATGAGACTCATTACATGCAAAGCAAGATAGTTCAAGCCGTGATTTGTCATCATTGTGATGATTATGGCTTACAGCTCATGAAAACCCCAAATCCACAATCTCAGAAAATGAGAATATTCCATGCAATCAATAAAACACGGATTGTACATAGAACAATATCGGACCTCTGAAAAGTAGAAGCTGCATATGTACTCAGTACTTGGTTTGGGGCCCCTTTTGCAGCAATTACTGCCTCAATGCGGCGTGGGTGGCATGGAAGCTATCAGCCTGTGGCACTGCTGAGGTGTTATGGAAGACCAGGATGCTTCAATAGCGGCCTTCAGCTCTTCTGCATTGTTCGGTATCATGTCTCTCATCTTTCTCTTGGCAACACCAGCACCAGCAGATGACATGGCTCCCCAAATCAACACAGACTGGAAACTTCACACTGGACTTCAAGCATCTTGCAGTGTGTGCCTCTCCATTCTTCCTCCATACTCGGGGTCCTTGGGCCTCTCCATTCTTCCTCCATACTCGGGGTCCTTGGGCCTCTCCATTCTTCCTCCATACTCGGGGTCCTTGGGCTTCTCCATTCTTCCTCCATACTCGGGGTCCTTGGGCCTCTCCATTCTTCCTCCATACTCGGGGTCCTTGGGCCTCTCCATTCTTCCTCCATACTCGGGGTCCTTGGGCCTCTCCATTCTTCCTCCATACTCGGGGTCCTTGGGCCTCTCCATTCTTCCTCCATACTCGGGGTCCTTGGGCTTCTCCATTCTTCCTCCATACTCGGGGTCCTTGGGCCTCTCCATTCTTCCTCCATACTCGGGGTCCTTGGGCCTCTCCATTCTTCCTCCATACTCGGGGTCCTTGGGCCTCTCCATTCTTCCTCCATACTCGGGCTCCTTGGGCCTCTCCATTCTTCCTCCATACTCCAGGTCCTTGGGCCTCTCCATTCTTCCTCCATACTCGGGGTCCTTGGGCCTCTCCATTCTTCCTCCATACTCGGGGTCCTTGGGCCTCTCCATTCTTCCTCCATACTCGGGGTCCTTGGGCCTCTCCATTCTTCCTCCATACTCGGGGTCCTTGGGCCTCTCCATTCTTCCTCCATACTCTGGGTCCTTGGGCCTCTCCATTCTTCCTCCATACTCGGGGTCCTTGGTATCCAAACGAGATGTAAAAGTTGTTCTCATCAGAAAAGAGGACTTTGGACCACTGAGCAACAGACAAGGTCTGTTTTTCTTTAGCCCAGGTAAGACGCTTCTGACATTGTTTGCTGTTCAGGAGCAGCTTGACAAGAGGAATACGACATTTGAAGCCCATGTCCAGGATCCATCTGTGTGTGGTGGCTCTTGATGCACTGACTCCAGCCTCAGTCCACTCCTTGTGAACGTCCCCAACCCTTTTGAATGTCCTTTTCCTGACAATCCTCTCCAGGCTGCGGTCATCCCTGCTGCTTGTGCACCTTTTTCTTCCACACTTTTCCCTTCCACATAACGTTCTATTAATGTGCTTTGATACAACACTTCTTTTGGGAATTACCTTTTGAGGCTTTCCCTCCTTATGGAGGGTGTCAATGATGGTGTCAGGTCAGCAGTCTTTCCCATGATTGTGATTCCTACTGAACCAGACTGAGAGACCATTTAAAGGCTCAGGAACCCTTTGCAGGTGTTATGGGCTGAATTATCTGATTAGAGTGGGACACTTTGAGCCGAGAATATTCCACCTTTTCACAATATTCTCATTTTCTAAGATTGTGGATTTGGGGTTTTCATGAGCTGTAAGCCATAATCATCACAATGATGACAAATCACGGCTTGAACTATCTTGCTTTGCATGTAATGAGTCTCTCTCATATATTAGTTTCACCTTTTAAGTGACTTTCACAAGTAGTGGACTGAGGCTGGAGTCAGTGCATCAAGAGCCACCACACACAGACGGATCCTGGACATGAGCTTCAAATGTCGTATTCCTCTTGTCAAGTCGCTCCTGAACAACAAACGTCAGAAGCGTCTTACCTGGGCTAAAGAAAAACAGACCTGGTCTGTTGCTCAGTGGTCCCAAAGTCCTCTTTTCTGATGAGAGTAAATTTTGCATGTCATTTGGTAACCAAGGACCCCGAGTATGGAGGAAGAATGGAGAGGCACAAGGACCCCGAGTATGGAGGAAGAATGGAGAGGCCCAAGGACCCCGAGTATGGAGGAAGAATGGAGAGGCCCAAGGACCCCGAGTATGGAGGAAGAATGGAGAGGCCCAAGGACCCTGAGTATGGAGGAAGAATGGAGAGGCCCAAGGACCCCGAGTATGGAGGAAGAATGGAGAGGCTCAAGGACCCCGAGAATGGAGGAAGAATGGAGAGGCACAAGGACCCGAGTATGGAGGAAGAATGGAGAGGCACAAGGACCCTGAGTATGGAGGAAGAATGGAGAGGCCCAAGGACCCCGAGTATGGAGGAAGAATGGAGAGGCACAAGGACCCCGAGTATGGAGGAAGAATGGAGAGGCACACACTGCAAGATGCTTGAAGTCCAGTGTGAAGTTTCCACAGTCTGTGTTGATTTGGGGAGCCATGTCATCTGCTGGTGTTGGTCCTCTGTGCTTCATTAAGTCCAGGGTCACCGCAGCCGTCTACCAGGAGATTTTGGAGCACTTCATGCTTCCTTCCGCAGATGAGCTTTATGGGGATGCTGACTTCATTTTCCAGCAGCACTTGGCACCGCCCACACTGCCAAAAGCACCAAAACCTGGTTCAATGACCGTGGGATTACTGTGCTTGATTGGCCAGCAAACTCGCCTGACCTGAACCCCATAGAGAATCTATGGGACATTGCCAAGAGAAAGATGAGAGACATGAGACCGAACAATGCAGAAGAGCTGAAGGCCGCTATTGAAGCATCCTGGTCTTCCATAACACCTCAGCAGTGCCACAGGCTGATAGCTTCCATGCCACGCTGCATTGAGGCAGTAATTGCTGCAAAAGGGGCCCAAACCAAGTACTGAGTACATATGCAGCTTCTACTTTTCAGAGGTCCGATATTGTTCTATGTACAATCCGTGTTTTATTGATTGCATGGAATATTCTCATTTTCTGAGATTGTGGATTTGGGGTTGTCATGAGCTGTAAGCCATAATCATCACAATGATGACAAATCACGGCTGGAACTATCTTGCTTTGCATGTAATGAGTCTCATATATTAGTGTCACCTTTTAAGTTGCTGCACTGAAATATATCAACTTTTGCACCATATTCTCATTGTTCGAGTTTCACCTGTAGTTTTCGTGTTGACAACCACTTGTAACAACTTTGTTTCATGAATTCAGTTTCTATTCTGCAGAAACGGAACTGCCTTATATGGTGGTCTTCAGTCATTTGTGGTCGTTATCTCTCTGTATAAGAGTGCAATATATCATTGGTCATTACAATATATCATTGGTCATTCTGAATTTGTAAAAACTGCTAGCACGCATTAAACTTTCAGAGATTTAGTTTGCACACTTCGGTGTCCGGAGCTTTATTTTTCCTGAGCTCAGAGGCTA